AGGTCTTTTCCAACCTTTGTGATTCTGTGATACAGTTGTCCTTGTTAATTTGCGTTCTTCAGTGTTAATGCCACTATTGTGTCTTTGAAGAGGTTTGAGATAGTTCTTTAAGAGAAGACAGCATTACCTGTTGCAGATAAGAGGTGATGACAACTTAAGGTGCTGAGATTATAAGCCGCTGCCTTCTTGTGCTCATAAAGATGCTGCTTATTAACCTGAAAGAAAAATCAACTTGAAAAGATTTAAGGACAAGCAGAAACAGAGTAACTGGATGGGAGTAGAAGTGAGAAGAAAGGAAGGAGCTTGTATCTAATATCAGGTTAAACTGAGGATGTATAAAAGTTGTGTTGAATAATAAAAGGTTCTCTAGCAGAAGACAAGGAACGAAGTGGGATACAAAACTTCTCTGTTACTCAGAGAGTATGGGGTCTATTTTAATGATAATCCAAGCAAGACCCAAAATTGCATGCATTGCATCTGTTTTCCTAAGTATAGTTATGTTTATTTTGAAGCCAGAGACAGTGGATATAGGAATGTGGGTATGGAAGAGGTGGCTATTGCATTCAGTATACAGAGGGAGGCAACAGAAAGTAGCAGAAAGATGTGGATGGAACATAGCTCCAGAAATCTTCAAGACCTAGCTTGTGATGGTACAGGCTTCTTGATAGTTACAGGCTTGTGATATGACAGGCTTGTTAATCTTCTCTAGATGAAGTTGTTGAAGGGTAACAGTTGAGGTTATTACAGGATGAGAGAACAGCAAGTCTTGTATGTAGCTTGGAGGAGGAGGAAGGTAGTCTAGTGAAGTGCAGCTTTTCAGAGGTGGTAAACTAATTGCTTTTAGGATGGAACAATTACATTCTATAAAATACATTATTCTTTGTGGTAAAAAGAGATTGTTGTTGAGGAATTGAAGTGTTTCTAGTTCAGCATTCCTTTCTCACAGCTGCTTGATACATCAGTGTACCCAACTTCCCCATAATTCAGGTAGATGCTGCTGGTGGAATAGGATCAGGTTCTTAGTAGGCTGCTTGCACTGAGTCTGCAGTCAGTCATGTGAAACGTGTTTCCTACCATGGGCAGGCTGGACCTGACAGTTCTTCTGTCTGCCAAGAGAAAGGAAGCTTTCTTGACCTGGAACATGCCTGAAGTAAAGGCTTGGAGGAACTGCTTGTGTGTTGTCCTGTCAGTAAGCCTTTGTTGCATGTGTTGAGATCTTTATCCTCTCTACACTATATGTGGGGAACCAAAGTTCAGGGCTGTTGGAAGGGGTAGGTTTTGTGTTGGGTTTTGCTTGGAAGTCAGAATTCTACTAGCATAATTAAGGGTATGTTATGTTGCTTTAGCAGATACTCAGCTACTTCTTTTTTGCCTGGTTCAGATTTTGAGTTGGAGATACTTCATCTGAAAATACTCCTTAATGGACTCTGAGACAATCGACTTGTGGGGTGATCTTCTGTTAGAACTTTGCTGAAAAAAATAATTGATTAGCTGTGTAGCTTGAACCAAATGACTTGCATTTACATTTTTCTTTGAAATTAAGTGCTCTTTCCTCTTAGAGTCACTTTAAAGCACTAGAGATTTCCATCTGGTCACACTAACTCGCGTGTCTGGTGTTATAGCGGAAACCCTGAGGAACTTAGGATTTTATTCATATCTTTTTGTTCAAAATGTTGGGGCTTTCAGGTGTTTGTCTTATGCTTATACTCATGAACCCAGGTCCCTACGGGAGTTAGGCTGGCAAAACCCTCAGGATTTTAGTGTTGATATTGGAAAGATCAGACAACCAGTGTTTTTTGTATTACTTACGTACAATGCTTTGCCAGTCAAAGCCCACTTCTTGGTCACATCTACAAAGCCAGCATGGATGCTACTGCTCTGTTGATTCAGGTTTTACATTGTGCACTGTGAAGACCAAATTGTTTGAGCTCAATCTGTTTTGCTAAATGCAAATGCGTTTTTCCATACTTCAAAGAAAGTGTTACTATTCCAGTCAAAACCATAGCATTATAAGAAAAAGTTCTATCCCAGGTATGCACGGAGTACCAAGGACCTAATTAAAATACATCCTATAAAAAGAAAGACATTTTTGTTTTCCCTTTGTCTGAAGTGACAAGATCTTGAAGCAACCAAATGTTCCCTGGTCAGATGGATTAAGTTACCTATTACAAAGACCTAAAAGTATCAGACAAATCTGAAGAATTTTGGTCATGATGTTGCAGAAAGAAAAGCCTGTACTTCCATTTTGGAAGTCTTCAGGGTTGTAACAATCTTCTGCCAACATCTAAAGTTTTATAAATATGTATTTTTCTATCTTCTGTAGAGGCCTCCTTGAACAAGAAGCCCTGCAGTCAGTGATCCATAAAAAACCGTCCATGTTTTTTCAGGCATTTAGTCTTAAGGGACTGGAATTTTGGACTTTTTATTTCCTCTTACTTAATGTTCACTTCTCATTATTTTCCGTGAGTCACAGAGATGTAGGAGATGTTTGACTGTAGAATGGAAAATTTCTTACCTGATAACTTCTTTTAATGTAACAGCAGTATCTTCTTCAATTTTACTCCCTGTAGTTTAGCAGCCAAGAAGAATGTCAACTTTGTCCATTCCTTTTTGTAGACTATTTAGGCAGATGCACGTGGCTTACCTGATTGGTAGTAGAGTACTTCTACTAACCTATAGTCTTGAAAGGTTGATGCAGCACTTTCCTCTTCCGCTGTGACTTAGGATACATTTGTGATGCTGATCTATCTCCGGAACTGTAAAGAAGTGGAAAGAATCTGATGCCCCATATAATAATGAGAGACACAGTTAACAGGAAAAAATACTGGCAAGAAACTTTCAGTGCTTTAGTGGGTACTTTTACCTAATAGCTTGCACACGCTGGTATCTTCAGGATTATTATTTCCTTCAGAGCAGTGTATTTAATATCCCAGTTAGTTGCACTGTAACGGTGATTGCTTGATTTGGCACCTTCCATCTGCAAGGCCTGTTTTGTGTGTTAGTAGTTTTCTTTATTCTGTTGTTATAGATTCAGATGTATAACTAAAAAAACCCGGTTTAAAACACAGTTATTACCTACAGTGTCTTATTTGCGTGATATTCTGTAATTGTCTTGTTTTAACATTGCTAGCAAATTCAATTTGTTAGCAAAGCTTGTAGCATGGCAAGTTAAAATTCTTCAATAACCTTTTGTTTTTGGAAGATGCTTTCTGCTGCAGCTTCCACTTGCTTTCTTGTGCTTTTAGTGATTTTAAAATAGTATCTTGGTTTCACACATATGAAATTCTACCCTAATAGACAATAGCACAAGGCACTCAATTGGAATTATTGAATATGTTATAATTATAGTATTTTTATGTTCTGTATGCCAGAGGAAGTGTAGCGCATATGTTACGTAGTGAGTTTCATAACTTACCAGAAGTACGTAAGTCTGCATGTGTTAGACTGTATGCCCTAGCAGAGTGGGCACTTGGAAAACTTGATTTCTGGTCATGGTGGTACTGTGACATTTGAGAGATCATAAAAACAGGTGCAGTACCTTAGATTAAAGGTCTGTGCAGATGTTCTCCTCCCTCAAGTGTTTAATATAGACAGTTACTTCATCTTCTCATATTGTTCCCTTCTGTAAAATTAGGACAATTACAGAGATATATGGTATATGATTTAGGCATCATCTCCATAGACACTATAGTTGAGGTAGTTTAAATACATTATATTCTCAAAATAGCCTATGTAATAGGTACAGTATTCATCTCAATGCATTTAATGTGTTAGAATGTCTTTTCTAATTTGCTTGAAGGAGGATCAGATTATTCAAGAACATAGATCTCATTATGGCAACCTTGAAATTACGACTGCATAGCAAATGCAAAAAAAAAAACCCCAAAACAACCCACCTGATGTGAAAAGAAAAAATAAAAGATTCATTGTGTACAATGCTACACAAATTTCATATGTAAACTTCTACTGTTGCTTAATTATTCTCAGTACTGATCATTGCATACTTTATAGCTACATTTTTTGAGAAACTCCTCAGTTCTTAGGTCATCTTGTACCTATCAGTGTTCTAAAAATTAATGAGTTGTCTTAAGTGGTTTGTTGTATTAATATGAATGAAAGTAGTAATAGAAATAAGTTGAACCTTGAAGATAGATATTGTTTTAGTGGATAGTGTTGTCTAGCTTAAAATTTCTGCTCGTCATTTTCTGGATATGTAGCATTTTGAGGTTGTGTAACTGAGCAATGTAATTCTAAGTCAATGCTTTTGCATGGTTCTATATGAAAAGAAAATTACGCAATTTTTCTGACTGTTTATTCAGGGATTTGATAAGCACAGAGTGAAGCGTAGTGTTTGAAAAAGATGTAGACACCACAATGAAACCATAGGTTGTGCAGGAAAGGTATTCAGGTAAACATGTCTTGAAATACAGTCTATTGTGCAACCTGAATTTGTCTGAAGCCCCAATTGTTAGCTGTTGTTGTATTCATTTAATTTTCAATATTTAAGTCTTAACTGTGATATCTCTCTGTAAAAATTACTTTGTTCCTAATGTTTAAAATCTGTTTCCAGGCTGCAAGCTGCTATATAAACAAGACTTTGCAAGACGGTTAGGACTGAGATGTGTTACTTGTAATTACTGCTCACAGCTGTGCAAAAAGGGAGCAACTAAGGAACTTGATGGTGTAGTGAGAGATTTCTGCAGTGAAGAGTGCTGTAAAAAATTTCAGGACTGGTACTACAAGGCAAGTAACTCAGAATTTTTGACGAGAGCTCCACAGTTAAAAAAACCAAAAATGCACATGTGAGGATATCTCAAGGACTGTGCAGCAAATAATGGCTTACTTCAGCAAAGCATTTGCTACACAATAAGCAAATGTATTAATTTCATCATTTGAGTTTTCTTAGATCTTAGAGCAGCATTTCTACCATCTGATTTTATTAATTCATTTGGCAAGGAAGTCTTGAGTTACAGAAAACCAAGAAACTACTATGTATATTTGTTACTTTACAATTCCAATTTTTTCTCAATTGATACCATATTTTTCTTGTCAAAACTTCTTAAATGTGTATTCAGAATGTTGAAAACAGTGTTAATAGCAGCTGGATGATACCTTGAGTTGACTGACGATAAACTAGGTTAGCAGAGTTTTTCTTGTTCCTGTTTTTGCCTCCTTTTTTGCCTTTTCCCTTCTCCCACAGTTTGAACTGCAGAGGCTTTGATTGTTCAGTATTTCCCAGTGGAAAGGATGCCAAAGGGAAAAGCAAGACCAAATGGATTTCTAATAAAAGTTTTAATCAAACAGATGGCATCTATTTCTAAATCTCTGGAAGCTTAACTACCTTGTGAAGCACAACCAGCAAAGAGTTCACGTTAAGAGGTTTTTTTTGGTTTCATTTTTTGAAAGAAATAAAGGTGAAATTGGACTGGGTTTAACCTGCGATTAGTACCACGGATAAAATATTTGATCTCTGGTGTGAACATCCTGGAAAGCTACACTGATAATGTCAAACAAGAACTACACTTGTGGATGCAATTGCAAAAAAGACAGTACAAAATTCATCACCTTACCAAAACTCTGTACACAGCCTGGACGGCAATAAAAAGCTTGAAATGTTAGAGGGCTAGATACAAGTCCTGTAATTCAAGATGATCTACCTACCATAAAAGAACTGAATCTGAAGACATATTTGATATTTTGGAATGGCTGCTTCCAGAATTGTTACAGCCAAACATTGTAAAGTTTTTATTTTGAATAATGTATGTAGGGTCCTGTTAGACATTCCTGAAAGGAAACTACTGAAGACCAGAATGTGTTTCTTTTGTCTCATGTGAAAATAGGGTGATGATGCTTGGCTGAAAACTTCTTAAACTTAGTAAAATGTTAACTTACTAAAATGTTAACTTCATACAATAATATTTACTCTATATGCCTTAAAACTTGGGGTATGGGGTGAAATTTATCCCTGCGTAAAAAGTGCCTTCTAATAGAGAACTTAATAAAGCTTTGGTGTGCTATAGAAATCTCTTGATGATTCAGCAAAGAATGTAGTCTGAGGGTGTGCATACCAAACTAGTTTCATGTACATAAACTTCTGTGGAAGCTTGTATTCTGGTTCAGGTTTGAGAACCACTTGAAAGCTCTGACTTTCGGTTATCTTTCTGATCCGTGGGATAAGGCAATAACTTAATTGGCCCATTAAGTATGCTTAAGAAATGCTGATGGCACTGTGGTACAGGAAAGTTAGACGTGATGCCATGAAAAGGCAATTTAATCTAAACAGACTTGCTGGTAACTAGTGACTTTAGGTACTTTTGATGATACTTAAGTGTTAGATATTTTTACTTTTTGAATTTTACGCTTGCTAGTGGAACTAGTGTTACATGATGTTGAATTGTTGATTGTCATTTTTTTTCACATACTTCTTAAAGCCTTTGCCTAATTCAGTTCTGGTTATAAAAGTTTGGCATTTATTACATGGGGAAACATGTAATAGGTTTTGGGAAATTGTGTGTTTTGCTAAAATTGTCTTTTTTTTCTTTACATTCTTACTGGTAACTTCTCCCTCTTTATAAAAGTCACTCCAGATATCTTGAATTTGGTAGTGCATTATTAGCTGATATTCTTGCCTAGCCATAAATAGATAATAATCAAAATATAGGAAGACAGAATAGATACGGACCCCTTCCTGAATTTGTACTTCATTCGCTGTTTTGTCTGTTAGCTTCCTAAAAGAATAGTTACATATGTATGAGCTTTGTCTCATTTATGCAATGTCCAGTGTTATTTTGGAGTTTCAAGGAATGTATACATGAAGAGAAATAACTAGTAATAACCTAGTAATGTTTTAACACCGGCATTGTGTTCATTAAACAAGTGTTTGTCTCCATCTTCTTTGTCTACTTTTTTTTATGGACACATCTTTCTCGTGTAGTATTATCTGGAAAACATCTTAACTTTTAAAAATAATTAAGTATTATGGGAGAGCTTCCCTGAATGCCAAAATTCTTTTCTCAAAAAGCCAGAAGAAGGTAGCAGTGGTAGAAGCACAACAGACTGTTATCTGGAAGTATTAGAAGCACATCAGACTTACCTAGAAGTGTTCTTCAAAACTAATATGGGGAATTGAAATGTAAAAGAATAGTTCAGTCATAATCATCTGTTGGGTGACAGCTACAGTTACCAGTTGGTGCCAAGTTCTGAGGAGACTTCTACTGTCTGGTATCCATGCACGTCTAAGACAAGAGGTAAATTTTTTGGTGTCTTGAGGTTAGCTCCTTAAGCTGTTAGAGCTCCTCCTGTAAACTTCAGTTGCATGCCATGCTTCGGATGTTAATCTGAAAAATGCCTGGGAAATTTCAATATAAATATTTTAGTAGCCTGATGTTTGATGAGAGTTTCAATCTTTTGATGTTACTTATAGTAGAGCATTGAAAGTACCTTGGAAAAGAGTGTACAGTTCTGAGAACAGCACAGAAATCTGTTTCTTCAAGTATACATTGTGAAACATTGCTGAAAATACTACAGCTGAAGTGCACTTACAGGTCATTCAGTGCTACAGTGGAGTATTGGTTGGACTGAGCATGTACAGTGATGACTGTGTATTCAGTAGAGGTCAGGTGTCTTCAGCAAAGACTAAATGGGAGGCGAGGAAATACAGTTTGAGGTGTACAAAGACTTGTGGCTGGTGAGCTCAGATAGCAATGATTGTCAACAGTGGTAAAATTTGACACTGTAGAGCCAGCATTAATCTAAATGGTAAAGGCAGCAAGACAACCTTGTGGAACTTCTCTTGCCCAAATTTAGCCGTTGTATAGTTCGGCATCTCAGGTTCAAGTAGGTACTGTTTCAGAACAGTTATCTTCTTTCTCTCACTCTCTAAAAATCACTCACTCTCTGGAAACATCTTAGCTTCCTATTTATTGCGGATTGAACTAAGAGCAGGCAGCTAAGATCAGGTCAAATTAATTACCATGTCAAATTAATACCAGTCCAAATTATTGGAGAACATTTAGGAACAGGTCATTCGAGGATTAAAAATGTAAATAAAAGCCCCACATGTGAAAACTTTGTTCTTAAACCACGTTTGGGGGCAAACAGTGATTTATACTAATCACCATGCCCATTTCAACATGTTGAAGTTGGACTTGGGAAAATAATTCAACCAAAAAGCAGTCATGAGTGGCAAAGGAGTTATGTGCAATTGGAGCACAGAGAGTATAGATGGACTTTTTGGAAACACAGAGAGCGAGCAGACTTGAAGTAGATTGAATTAATGCATAGTGCCAGTATCCCAAATGAAAACAAATGGAAAGGGGAAGGAAGGAAAAAGCAGAAAATCATGAATTCACACTTATGCTTTCAGTTAATTTCATGGTTGGGGAAGTGGGGAGAGCAAGCAGGTAGTAGGAAACTTCAGTGCATGGAAGGGTGTGTAGTACTGACTGTAAGCATGATTATGGAAATGATAGAATTATGGTGTAGCAAATGTAGGGATGAGAAGTGAAGCATCCTTATAAAGGAATCTTGGCCTTTCTCAGAAATAGTAATTTCCATTTGGAAGCAAAACAAATATTTTTTCACCTAAATACTTCAGTAGCAGCCCAGGAGAGACAATAATACATTTATTCAAAGGTCTAAATAAAAGAGCAGAACCAAGAGAGGGAGAAAACAGTTGCAGGAAGGGTGTAGTTGCTGCATTTGACAGGAGTTATCACCTTTTTCTTCCTTTGAAGGAGAGAGAAAATTGAGCAGAAAGTGGTGCTGTGATAGTCAAGCAATGTGCAGCAGGTCAGAATAGGTGGGCTTTTCTGTACATGGGTCAGCTGTCATTCTTAACAATCAGTGTTAGGTGGGCTTGAGATTTAAAACTAGAGTGAATGGCTTTTTTTTTCTCTCTCTATGGGTATTTCAGCCTTTTGGTGGCTTTGGAAGATGCATTTGCATTAAAGGTGTGAATTCACAGTTTTTCCTGAACTGATAAATCTAGGCTATTTTGGCAACACTCCACACTTCATCTTCTTCCCCACTTCCTTCCAAGAATACTGCTTACTTGCTCTTTTGTCCTGCTGAGAACATCTCTGCTGCGAAAGGAACTGTGGATCAGCATCAGCAGAAAATCAAAGTAATAAAATGCTTAAAAAAAAAAAAAAAAAAATTAAAAATTAGGGAGGATGGGGGGGTAATGCAGGGCTTATAGGGTACTTGACCTTGTATATCCTGCAGGTGCGTGAGCACTGCTGCTGACACCTGCCCAGAGCAGGGCGAAAAGAGGTACCTGCCCTTCCAGTGGCGCCTGGCACTTGGTGTGAGGTGATCCTGAAGCCACAGCTTTAATTGCTCCCGGGCACACTAAAACATTTTTATTTAAAGGGAATATGTATATAATTTTTAAAGCTGGTTATGCTGTTAGAATCAAATCTCTCTATATATCATAAATATTTGAAAATTGCAACTGAGAGCTGAATTTCCTATGTTGCCAGAGGATGGTGCCGGACTGTTAAAGTACAGAGAAGGAACTCAACATTTAATTACTTTTAAAATTTGAACTAGTTGGTCTGTTGATACTTTTTGGAATTGTGAGAACTACAGCTGGACTGGTTTTTCGGTTTTGTTTTGTTTTTTAGCTATCGGAGCCTTGTGCATAACTGCAATGTTGTGTATGGTTTTATGTATTAATGTTTTATGTTGCATATTATCATATCTTCCCTCTTCCTCTCCTGGCTATATTATTTGGTTGACTTATTTTGGATTCCTGAGCATCCATAAAGCTTTTGCCTTTTTAAGGACTGCTTTAGGTTGGAAGTGGCAAGCAGTATCAAGGGGAGCAGTAGTGCAAACAATTCTTTGCTTACTTGAAGATCTGAAACTGGGGCTACCACAGTTCAGATAATAATATATAGTATGCCTGATTAAATTCAGAGAAATCTATTTTGGAGAAAAATAACGTCTGTCTTAGTGATACCCCATGAAACTACCATGTAGGCTGGTAAAAGATACTGCTTAAATGTTTAGCAAGGGATACAGAAGAACAAAGTTTGAGTTTCAAGTTACGTGCTAACTAGATTTTTCTGGAAACCTCTTCAGTTTGAGAGCTATTGTTATTTATAAATAGTAGAGAAACTTTGATGAACTAAATAATTGGAATCTAAAACTGTTGTCAAACTACTAAAATAATTGAAATATAAAAGTTACTTATACTAAAGAGCTCTGATTTGATACCTAGAAGAGCTCTGGTTTGATACCTAGAGAAGTGATTCTGTTTGTGACTTAAAAATAAAAAAACCCCAAACTTCGGTGAGGAGGGAACCAGCTCTCCTTGTTCGCAGTTCAAGAGAGTCACTGAGGAGTCTCAGTCACTTTCTGCTCTTGTTTTGCAGAATGCTTCAGTGGAATTAATTAAAATTGATGCATTAAATTAATTTTTTTTTCTGACTGTGTAGAAATGAGCAATTTTTAAAGACTTATTAAAGACTTAGTGATTAAAGCAGATGCATTCTGGGTGTTAACCTCCAGCAAACAATTGAAAATAAAGTGACAGATGTGCCAGTATACACAGATTAGAAGGTAGTGTAACTATCATAGAGCCTACGTGAGTGAGACTTAGAACTGTGTAGTCAGTACTCTTAAAAATGTAACCTTTTAATATGTAGAAATCATTTTTTTCCAAGGCTTGTTTAAAAATGTCAAAATCTTCCTTTGCATTAAGGCTGCACGATGTGACTGTTGTAAGTCTCAAGGAACTCTCAAAGAGAAAGTGCAGTGGCGTGGCGAAATGAAACACTTTTGTGATCAGCACTGTTTGCTCCGTTTCTACTGTCAACAAAACGAACCAAATCTGGCAACCCAAAAAGGACCTGAGAACTTACACTATGGTATGTGCTGCTTTATCGCTGCTAAACGGCAAACAAGATGCTTCCTTTAAATGAAAAATTTACAGCTGCATGAATTATTTCTCGTAATAAACCGTGCTAGAGGGGGTTTTTATTTTATCATCAGCGACATCATGGAGCTGCTTGTTATTTTTTGTCCTAGTTCTTTATTTTATTGCTTTTTCGAGAGCTGAAACATTGTCAGGTAATCAAACAATTTTGTAATCACTTTTTAAAAACCAAATCTTCTTTTTAGATTGTATCTTCATGGGGACAGAAAACGTTTTCCTCTTTCCTTGTGCTCCAGTTTGTCATTGCTAGCTCTGTGGAAACACTTCTTTTCAAAATGTGTTTTGGTCACAGAAAGCAGATAAATGCACTAAGAATGAAAAAAGAAATAAATTAAAGGAGTAAATGAAATGGAGACTAAATGAGAATGGGTCTAGATAAGAAATATCTGTATTTCTATATATAATGTAGTATCTAGGCAAGAGGAATACATTGTGCTTTTTTTTTCTGTTGGCAATAAGTACCATTTAAATTTGCTGATGGGGACTGAATGCATGTTTACGTGGTGTAAATGGCAAGTCAGGCAAAGTTCAAATAAATCAGCTTTCTAATTAATGTAATTATAGCAATACAACTTCTTTGTACGGCCATTTTCATATGTGAACATTTTGGTATTTGCTTTTCTGAAAGAGGCTATATTCACATCCGGATGGAGCATTGATTTACTATTGGCCTTTGTGTAAGGTTCAATGCTGGAGTAGTGAGGTGCTTATGAATGAGAAGTCTTGTGTGCAGTTCTCACCTGCAATACAGTACTAATCAGTGCTGTTAATGTTAATCTGATGATAGATGTTGTCTGACTTGCTTACTGAAATTTGCTTTGATTCTGAAAAATGGAAGAAAATTTCTAAAAATGTTTTCTTACATTTTTAGATCAGGGCTGTCAAACCCCCCGAACAAAAATAACAGTAAGTACATATATTTAACATACATATAACAAAATTAGATGTATTTAAAATGTGCGATCCTGGTGGCTTAAAGGGATGGCTATTAAAAAACCAAAAAAAAATAGTATCTTTGAATAACACTAAGTTAAATTTGTGGAGCTTTTTAGTCTTTTTCACGAGTAGTTGAAATTAAATTTTAAAATGTTCGTATTTTGTCTTAGTGTCTTCCGGGAAACCAGATCAACTATGTATTTTACATCTATAGTGCATGAAAGTGCTGCTTAAAAGTGAATCCACAAACTATGTGTATCTTACATGTTTCCACTGATTAGGTATATTTATTTACTGTAGATAAGGAAGAGAATTTCACTGGTCATTTAGAATATTGAGGTTGTATCTCTGCTTTGAAAGGCTGAAAATGAAGCTTCAGATCTTAAATTATAATTCCCAAGAGTAGAATAATTGGTACTCAAGATTTTATTGACTTTGCTGTGGGTGACAGAGTAGGGAAGCATAACCTTTTGCAGGATTGCTGTCTGGGAGGGTGGGGATCACGAGTGGAGCAGCAGCCTCCATTCTGAGTTTCAGTTTTTGACAGCTTGTTAAAAGTATTATTAATAATTTTTTTTCATGTAGCTTAGTGTACTTTGAAACTTAGTTTTATTTTCATTTCTTTTTCACGTGGACATCTGACATGGATCTCAGAAGTGCCTATTTTTCCATGAAAAAATGGACTCACCTTTTTAACGCCAATAGGCTTCTGTAAGGAAAATCTTAGTGAAAGTATTTTGATGGCATTATAAAATACATAAATAAAAAACACAGAAAATAAGATTGCTCAGGTTAACTAGAGATACCAGACAAGCTAAACGGTCATGTTAAAAGCATCTAGTATTTTATATTTAATAGCTTCCAAAGGTTCAGTCCATAATTTTTTATAAATTCATATAAAAGCTGTTTGTGATATTTTTTTTTTTTTTTTTTTATATTTTAGAAAATGTAGCTTGTTAAGTAGAGTTTACTGCTGTTCTTAGGACTTGACTTCCTTCCCATATTTAAGGCTAGGCTTACTACATCTGATGAAATAGAAGTGACAGTCTGTTTCTTAAATCAGGTTCTAAAACAGGTGCTAGGTGACAAAAACCATGTCTGGAACAAGAGGGTTTGTTACCTGTTGACTGTAAGGATGCAGTTTGAGCATTATGTGACGTTAGAAAGTATTTGTGTCACTATTTTAGAGCCAGCAGGGGGAGCTCGAAGTTCATACTTTGGGTATTAAAAAACTGTTTAGAGGTAATATTTTATCTAGAAATACATTTTTTAAAAATGTTATCTTTGGATTATAGTATAGTTCAAGAAGGTTAGATCTTGAGCCAAAAGTTTGTTATGCTACTTGTAGTGAGTTCTTTTTACAGCTAAAATTATTTTTTAAGTTATAAAATAGCTTAAATTGCACTTTCATGTAAAAAAGAATGTAAAATGACTTATCTTAAGAGTATCTTAAACTAAAAAAAAAAAAAAGAAAAGGAAAATGAGCCTGAAGTTGTTAATCAAAGTGCTAGCCCTGACTGAGCAAAATACAACCATGTTACATTCCTGGCAGTGGCAGCTGATTACTAGGAATGTAGAATATCTTGCAATTAAAGAATAATAGTTGGTGCTGTTGTGTTGTGTTGTTGTGAGCTTCCTCTTCAGCATCTCATATATGAAAAGTATCAACTGATACATTAAACCAAGAACTTGATGGAAAGTTGAAATGAGTTTGGTGTTACAACACGTTTTTTATTTGCTTGTCTGTAGGGCTCAGCACCACCACCTTCTCCAACCCCTAACAGAGAAATGAAGAACAAGGCAGTTCTTTGCAAGCCTTTGACAATGACGAAAGCCACATACTGTAAACCTCATATGCAGACAAAATCTTGTCAGACAGGTAACTCTTGAACTGTACTGGAACTACTGATTTCTTCATTGCATATTTTTTAACTGTTACTGTCTTGGAACATACTGCAAATACTCTGATTTTTTTTCCCTAAACTGCAGGTGTAAAATATGTTTAAGTACCTGGCAGTGTTTGCCTTTTTCTTTTTTCTTTTAATAGAAGATGATTGGAAAAAAGAGTATGTCCCAGTGCCTATTCCTGTACCTGTCTATGTTCCGGTGCCTATGAACATGTATAGTCAAAATGTTCCTGTTCCTACAGCGGTTCCTGTTCCTGTAAGTGAGACTTCAGCGTCATTTCTGAATTGGCATCCATTCACATGCATGTGTGGGACCACTTTATGTTGAGTGTTCTCATTCTGGTCCATCTAAAGGACTGCAGGATGCTGCAGCACTATTTAATGAAAAAGCATTAGAAGTCTGACAGTGGTACTTAATTTCCTGATGGTTCTTTAGGACCTATCTGCCTGCCTTTGGTGTGAAAATCTTGAAAATCTTGTGCTGCTGGACTTTTTAGGAACAATTCTGAGTTATAGTTTTGAGTTTGCTGAATAAGTAATAGGTAATGGGAAACTGAAAGATGGTGCTGGGGAGATATGGCAGAGTGGGATAAACAGAAGAAAAGAAAAAAAGCCAAAAAGCAGCCTTGTGCCAGCAAAAGAAAGTAACTCTTAAGTTAAATTTGTTACCACTTATGTACCAAATCTCATCCAAATGGTGGAAAAAAACCACTGAATTCATAAAATTCCATGTTTCACAAGCAAGCCACTAAAACAGGATGCTGACTTGTCCAAACTGTTAGTCTGAATTTATAGTCAGACAGGTATGAAGCTCTGAAGACCCTTCTGTTCTTACTTTGACCCACTATATTTTGTCATACTTTATTTTTTTCTGTATCCTTTCCTGCTTTCCCTTTTGTTCTCAGTCATGTATATTGAATTTTTTAACCTGTCAACATTTTTTGTTAGCCCACACTGAAGTGATACATTTCTAATCTGTGTTAACTGTGTCTTTTAGACAAGGGATGTAGAGTTCGTTTCTGTGTTGACTGCTGTTGATGCTTTGTTGCAGCATATTTTTTTTTTTCTTTCCTATTTATCTCTTTCTCACTGTCTGCATAGGTGCCAGTTCCAGTTTTCTTGCCCACTACTCTGGATAGCAGTGAGAAAATCCTTGCAGCAATAGAAGAGCTGAAGGGAAAAGTACCCTCAAATCCTCTGGAAACCGAGCTACTGAACTTGTCAGGGATGGTACCTGAACATGATGGAAAAGCTGAAGCTTCTGATGTGACCAGTGAGTTTTCTTGCCAAGGTTTGGACTCTTTAGAGTGCTAGGATGTATGTGTGGGTGTGTGTGAATCAAGAAAAGCGT